GAAACATTTAAGGCTGAGAGTGAAACAGCTGATCTATGGCAGCCTAAATGGAATGAGAATCAGACAGTCCTTGCTGCAGCCATACATACCCTGGCCAGGGACACAAGTCCCCTGGAAGGCACAGCGGCTGGGAGTTGGAGTTTAGGGAGTGTGGAGCAATCCCAGGGCAAGGGCTGCTGTTGACTGTGGAGCAATGGATCGAGGTGGTGTGAGGGAGGAGATTGTCATGGGAAATGCCTGTGGAGGAAAACAGTGCAGCCATAGAAGCAAGGTGATACTGATGAGTCATGTGTAGGGGGTGGAGCCATCACCATAGCCTCTCTACCCCTACTGCCAGCACTGGCAGCTGAACAATAGAGAGGCTGGTCCATCAAATGCCTGATGCACTTAATTACAGAGCAGGACCCCACCCAGGGTGCCCCTTTAAGTGCCTGATGCACTGAATTACAGAGTAGAACCCCAGCCATGGGTGCCCCTCTATGTACCTGACCCACCTAGCAACAGAGAAGGATCCCAGGCAAGGGAGCCCTCTAAGTGCCTGAACGGGTGGAGCTATGGAGAAAGATTGGCCAAAATGGCTTTCTGATCGCCAACTACAAGAGGATCGAAAAAAGACTCTGATAGGGCCATAACTCCTGCAGCGGAAGCAGTCCCTGGACACTTGGCACCGCCGGGGTCCCTGCAACCCAAGCAGCTGCGCTGCCAGCATGATCAACTCTCACTGGGGCAGAGCTGCCACAGGCAAAAAAGTCTTGCGTCTATGCGTGCAGGGTTGCTTTGGTAGTGTCCAACTCTTTGTGATTCTGTAGACTGTGGCCAGAAATGGTATGGACCTAACAGAAGCAGAAGATATTAAGAAAAGGTGGCAAGAATACACAGAAGAACTATACAAAAAAGATCTTCATGACACAGATAATCACAGTGGTGTAATCACTCACCTAGAGCCAGACATCCTGGAATTCGAAGTCAAGTGGGCCTTAGGAAGCATCATTATGAACAAAGCTAATGGAAGTGATGGAATTCCAGTTGAGCTATTTCAAATCCTGAAAGATGATGCAGTGAAAGTGCTGCACTCAATATGCCAGCAAATTTGGAAAACTCAGCAGTGGCCACAGGACTGGAAAAGGTCAGTTTTCATTCCAGTCCCAAAGAAAGGCAATCCCAAAGAATGCTCAAAGTACTGCACACTTGCACTCATCTCATATGCTGGTAAAGGAATGCTCAAAATTCTCCAAGCCAGGCTTCAACAGTACATGAACCATGGACTTCCAGGTGCTCGAGCTGGATTTAGAAAAGGCAGAGGAACCAGAGATCAAACTGCCAACATCCACTGGATCATCAAAAAAGCAAGAGAGTTCCAGAAAAACATCTGCTTTATTGACTACTCCAAATCCTTTTACTGTGTGGATCACAGCAAACTGTGGAAAATTCTTCAAGAGATGGGAATACCAGACCACCTGACCTTCCTCTTGAGAAATCTGTATGCAGGTCAGGAAGCAACAATTAGAAATGGACATGAAACAACAGACTGGTTTCAAATCACTTGCATTTCTATATACCAACAATGAAAAATCAGAAAGAGAAATTAAGGAATCAATCCCATTCACCATTGCAACAATAAGAATTAAATATCTAGGAATAAACTTACCTAAGGAGACAAAAGAACTGTACACAGAAGATTGTAAGACACTGATGAAAGAAATCAAAGATGACATAAACAGATGGAGAGATATTCCATGTTCCTGGGTAGGAAGAATAAATATTGTGAAAATGACTATAATTCCAAATGCAATCTACAGATTCAGTGTGATCCCTATCAAATTAACAATAGCACTTTTCACAGAACTAGAACAAAAAAAATTTCACAATTCATATGGAAACACAAAAGACCCCAAATAGCCAAAGAAGTCTTGAGAAAGAAGAATGGAGCTGGAGGAATTAACATTCCTGGTTTCAGATTATACTACAAAGCTACAGTCATCAAGACAGTATGGTACTGGCACAAAAACAGAAATATAGACCAATGGGACAATATAGAAAGCCCAGAAATATACCTATTCACCTATGGGTACCTTATTTTTGACAAAGGAGGCAACAATATACCATGGGGCAAAGACCGCCTCTTTAGTAAATGGTGCTGGGAAAACTGGATAGCAACATGTAAAAGAATGAAATTAGAACACTTCCTAACACCATACACAAAGATAAACTCAAAATGGTAACACCAGAAACTATAAAACTCTTAGAGGAAAACCTAGGCAGAACACTCAGTGACATAAATCAAAGCAAGATCCTCTATGACCCACCTCCTAGAGTAATGAAAATAAAAACAAAAGTAAACAAGTGGGACCTGATTAAACTTAAAAGCTTTTGGACAACAAAGGAAATTGTAAGCAAGCTGAAAAGATAACCCTCAGAATGAGAGAAAATAATAGCAAATGAAACAACTGACAAAGGATTAAGTTCCAAAATATACAAGCAGTTCATACAACTCAATGCCAGAAAACAAACAACCCAATCCGAAAGTGGGGAAAAGACCTAAACAGACGTTGCTCCAAAGAAGACATACAGATGGCTAACAAGCACATGAAAAGATGCTCAACATTGTTCATTATTAGAGAAATGCAAATCAAAACTACAGGGAGATATCACTTCACACCAGTCAGAATAGCCATCATCAAAAGTCTACAATCAATAAATGCTGAAGAGGATGTCAAGAAAAGGGAACACTCTTGCACTGTTGGTGGGAATGTAAATTGATACAGCCACTATGGAAGACGGTATGGAGATTCCTTAAAAAACTAGGAATAAAACCACCATATGACCCAGCAATCCCACTCCTAGGCATATATTCTGAGGAAACCAAAATTGAAAAAGACACATGTATCCCATTGTTTGTTGCAGCACTATTTACAGTAGTTAGAACATGGAAGCAACCTAGATGTCCATCAACAGATGAATGGATAAAGAAGTTGTGGTACATATACACAATGGAATATTACTCAGCCATAAAAAGGAACTCATTTGAGTCAGTTCTGTTGAGGTGGATGAACCTAGAACCTATTACACAGAATGAGTGAGTCAGAAAGAGAAAGATAAATATCGTATTCTAATGCACATATAAAGAACCTAGAAAAATGGTACTGAAGAATTTATTTACAGGGCAGCAATGGAAAAACAGATATAGAGAATAGACTTATGGACATGGGGAGAGGGGAGGAGAGGGTGAGATGTATGGAAAGAGTAACATGGAAACTTACATTGCCGTGTGTAAAATAGATAGCCAACAGGAACTTGCTGTATGGCTCAGGAAACTCAAGCAGGGGTTCTGTATCAACCTAGAGGAGTGGAATGGGAGAGAGATGGGAGGGAGGCTCAAAAGGGAGGGGGTATATGTTTACCTATGGCTGATTCATGTTGAAGTTTGACAGAAAACAACAAAATTCTATAAAGCAGTTATCCTTCAATAAGAACATAAAAGAATAACAATAACAAACGATGTATATTCTTTAACTTTTCTATTTCACTTAAAATATATCAATGTTTTACAATAGCTTTTTATGTTACTGTTACTCTGCTAAAGGGAGTTCACCTTTGTCTTTCTTATATAGACACCAAAATATTTTACCTCCTAATTCTTGTTCTGGCTTCTTTGAAGAAGAAAGAAAAGTTAAAAATATTTGGAAGCATTCTGAGAGCAGACTTTGGAACCTTAAACATTATCCCCCTCCCCTAACCCATTATAGCTACCTCACTACAATAACACTTGCGTTCTTCAACGCTCTCAACTTAATTTTTAAAATATGTATCTCTGTGTTCACTCATTTTTCTGACTTATGTAACATTTAACTATTAATAGACTAACAAGTAAATTGGATAAAAGAGGCTAGAGAACTATAAAACTGACTCCTGCTAAACACATGAGCTGTCTGGTGGGAACACAAGTGGGTGGGCACAAAGGCACACAGCCTTCCATCCAGAGCCGTCAGTGGGCCTGAGCATCAGTCCTGGAGGTTTTCCAGGTAGAAGGGGTGGACTGACTCAACTGATGAGTCAGCTAGATGGTTGGATATCAATTAGGAGAGTTGACACTGTAAGGAAATACACAAAAACACACAATACACATTAATATAATGTTTACAAAATTTGAAATAATACTGTCCATATGGCCCATTTTTTTGTTTGTTTGTTTACCATGTTGTTTATTTAGAAGGTAATAAATATAGTCTGACATCACTTTGGGTGATTGCATAGTACTCCATTGTATGGATATGCATCTTTACCCAACCCCTTACTTAGGACTTTTAGACTTTGTTTCCTTTTTCCTTTTTCTTTTGCACTTGTTTGTATTTTTATATGCTCATTTGATTATTCCCTCAGGATAAATTTCTAGGAGTGAGACTGCTGCATCAAAGCATATCCATATTATTAAGATTTTGATACACATTGCTACCAACACTCCAGAAAATGTATACCAACATACATACCTCCAGTTATATCACCCCCAGATTTTCCTATTGGCCCCGTCGCTGCTCCCCTCTTCACCCAGTCTCTCGGTGAGCAATGAGGACTCTCAGGAGGAAAAGGTTTGACAGATGTGAGATGAGGCTTCTCCATAGAGATGCCCAGGGGGCTGAAGAGTGGTACCAAAGTGGTGAATTCATCAGAGACAGAAAATGCTCAAGGAGGGGGGGGGGAAGTGGTGTGTGGCACTACCACTTCATTTCATGGAATCTCAGGACAGCATCGTGTATCAGAGAGCGCCACGGATGAGACCTCCCCAAGGACCTGGTTCTGATGGATATCTCTGTCACTTACAGGTTGTGAGACCTTTAGGCAAGTCATTTAACCTCTCTGAGCCTCAGTTTCTTCATCTATACAATAGCATTATCCTTGATTAGAGCATTTATCTCAATCTGCCTTGCCTTACATATGGCTGGACAGGTTGCAGCCTCACTCTCACCAGGGAATTGCTGCCTTAGTGCAAGGAAGGAGATGACCTCGGACTTCCATGCTTACAACCTGGGATTTGTTTAGCTTCTAAGAGCAAGTCCTTGCTTGCTACCATGGTTAGGGTCTTCGCCTTGAATTTGATAACCACATTGCCCATATTCTTGATTCCTGTGAAGTTAGGTCCAGAAACAGCTGGAGACTGAAGTGGGGGTGAGGGGAACAGGAAGAGGGATACAAAGGCTTAGGACAATTTCATCCTGTGTGTCAATGATTACCATTAGGTTTATTTCAACACAATCTGCCTAATCTTGAACCGCAGACTGCAAGATCACCCTTCCTGAACCTGCCTGCTCTTGGACTCCCCGTCTGGTCTCCTCTGTCTCTGTCCTGCGTAGTGCACCTCATTTGACAATCCCACTTCTTTCAACTAAAGCAGTTCCTTTAAAATAACAACTCCCACTCACAGGTTGTGAGCATATATTAGATGTCAGGTACTGTGCTAACAGTTGTACGTGTATTATCCCTACTGACAGTCCCAGAAGGTAGGCATTCCCATTGTACAGGTGAAAAAACCATCTCAGCAAATTTAGCAGCTTTGCCACAATCACAGCTGGACTGTGAATGAGCTGAGATCTAAACCCGTTTATGTGGTAACCAAGCCTGTGTTGTTAGTCATTGCCAACAACCAGGAGAGGCGGGGAGGACAGTGTTCAACTCTCTTCCCATTTTATAGAGGAGCAAGTTGAGTCTCAGAGCATGTCAGAATCACACAGTTGGTCTGTAGCAGAGCCAAGCCTAAAGCCAGATCCCAGTAAAGGCAACCCGGATGGAGCTGTTACTCAGAGAGGTCACTGAAATCCTGAGGGATGGTCTTCTGGTTCCTTAAGTGGGAAAAAACAGGAGATACTTTGAAATCTTGCAGAGGGATTTAAAATATTCACTTAAAGTCTTTTTGGCAGAACCCAAGAAGCATCTGTGGAGACAAGGGTGAGTCGTCCCTGTCCCTGTCTACGGGAACCTTGAAATGCAAAAGCAGCGTGACAGAGTTGCAGATGGAGTTGGCAAGGAGCGCTTCCTGTTACATCGGGGAGGACTTCCTGGAGGGATGCATTTTCATTAGTCCTTGAAGGGTTGTAATTGGAACAGAGTCGGTAGTGCCCGCATACCTGGTGAGCACATAGTCCTGACTTCAGACTGACATGTACCAGATGGCTCTTGTGAGCCAAGCAAACAGTAGAGCAAATTTTACATGCTTCATAATGTTATTTTTAAAGTTATCCTTACTAATGTGTAGGCTGTGTTTGCTTGTTATGTTACTGGATGAAATAAAGAGAAGAATGATCTAGACCTATGCTCATTACCCTGAGCTTAAGTTTCACCATCTCCTTGCTTTAAGAGCCCTCTGCATAGCTTTTTAGGCAGGGGTCTCTTCAACAGTCTTCCCATGAGTTCCTGTTGAGGACATATCTTCTTTAGTCACCTGCGTTAAGTGTTCATTAGTGCTTTCCCATCCATTATGTCATTTAATCCTTACACGGTCCTCAGGAGGAAGATGTGCAGAAAGTATTCCCATTTTACTGAAGAGGAAATTGAGGACTCAACATAGGGGTGACAAGTAGGCTTCAATTCACCTTGACTTCCTGGACCGCTGCATTGAGGGTTCTGAGGGGAGATCTAGGCGTTCACTGAAAACTAATGCTGTGATCAATTAGTGATAGCTTTCTGTGAACAGTGTGGGATTCCTAATCTCTGAAGAAGAAGATTTAACTTTGGGACCAGGGACCAGCCTTGATCACTCAAGAGCTTTTGTATAGCAGAGTTTTATTAAAATATAAAAAGGGAGAAAGCTTCTGACACAGACATCAGAAGGGGGATGGAGCGTCCCCCCTAGTGTTAGCAAGGGAGTTATATATTTTTAAATTGGTTATTACAATAAATCAAAAGAATGTCTCAAGGTTGTAAAGATCTTACTAGACCCACTCCCATAATTTACATTTTAAGATAACAGGATTAGCCAGAAGATTTTCAGTAAGGAGAAACTGTCCTCAAGCAGGATACATTGTTGTTACATAATCCTTAGTACAGAGTTTAAACTTAATTGTTTGTTGTGTAATCATCAGTTCTAGGCTTAAAGAAAAAAAAATATTTCATGAGACTAAGACTAAGGAATGTAGAGAAAAATTATATATATTTGTCCTTTGCTCCTCCTTAAGAATTCCAGACCCCTATCTCCTCCTTGAGAGCCCCAGACCCCTTTCTCCTCCTCAGGGACCCTGGACTTATCAACTTGCCTAGGAATTGACTCTCTGATTAGCAATATCTGCCCTGGACACAGATGAGGAGGCAGGCACCTATGCTGGTGAGTTAAAGGTCTTCAGTTCAGTTCAGTTCAGTCACTCAGTCATGTCCGACTCTTTGCGACCCCATGAATCCCAGCACACCAGGCCTCCCTGTCCATTACCAACTCCTGGAGTTTACTCAAATTCATGTCCATCGAATCGGTGATGCCATCCAGCCATTTCATCCTCTGTCGTCCCCTTCTCCTCCTGCCCCCAATCCCTCCCAGCATCAGGGTCTTTTCCAATGAGTCAACTCTTCGCATGAGGTGGCCAAAGTATTGGAGTTTCAGCTTCAGCATCAGCCCCTCCAATGAACACCCAGGACTGATCTTTAGGATGGACTGGTTGGATCTCTTGCAGTCCAAGGGACTCTCAAGAATCTTCTCCAACACCACAGTTTAAAAGCATCAATTCTTCAGCCCTCAGCTTTCTTCATAGTCCAACTCTCACATCCATACATGACCACTGGAAAAACCATAGCCATGACTAGATGGACCTTTGTTGGCAAAGTAATGTCTCTGCTTTTTAATACGCTATCTAGGTTGGTCATAACTTTCCTTCCAAGGAGTAAGCGTCTTTTAATTTCATGGCTGCAATCACCATCTGCAGTGATTTTGGAGCCCCCAAAAATAAAGTCATCTACTATTTCCACTGTTTCCACATCTATTTCCCATGAAGTGATGGGACCAGATGCCATGATCTTAGTTTTCTGAATGTTGAACTTTAAGCCAAGTTGTTCACTCTCCTCTTTCACTTTCATCAAGAGGCTCTTTAGTTCCTCTTCACTTTCTACCATAAGGGTGATGTCATCTGAGGTTATTGATATTTCTGAGGTTATTGGTATTTCTCCTGGCAATCTTGATTCCAACTTGTGCTTCTTCCAGCCCAGCATTTCTCATGGTGTACTCTGCATTTAAGTTAAATAAGCAGGGTGACAATATACAGCCTTGACGCACTCCTTTTCCTATTTGGAACTAGTCTGTTGTTCCATGTCCAGTTCTACCTGTTGCTTCCTGACCTGCATATAGGTTTCTCAAGAGGCAGGTCAGGTGGTATGGTATTCCCATCGCTTGAAGAATTTTCCAGTTTATCGTGATCCACACAGTCAAAGGCTTTGGCCTTGCCAATAAAGCAGAAATATATGTTTTCTTGGAACTCTCTTGCTTTTTCAATGATCCAGTGGATGTTGGCAATTAGATCTCTGGTTCCTCTGCCTTTTCTAAAACCAGCTTGAACATCTGGAAGTTCACGGTTCACGTATTGCTGAAGCCTGGCTTGGAGAATTTTGAGCATTACTTTACTAGCGTGTGAGATGAGTGCAATTGTGTGGTAGTTTGAGCATTCTTTGGGATTGCCTTTACTTGGGATTGGAATGAAAACTGACCTTTTCCAGTCCTGTGGTCATTGCTGAGTTTTCCAAATTTGCTGGCATATTGAGTGCAGTACTTTCACAGCATCATCTTTTAGGATTTGAAATAGCTCAACTGGAATTCCATCACCTCCACTAGCTTTGTTCATAGTGATGCTTTCTAAGGCCCACTTGACTTCACATTCCAGGATGTCTGGTTCTAGGTGAGTAATCACACCATCATGATTATCTGGGTCGTGAAGATCTTTTTTTACAGTTCTTCTGTGTATTCTTGCCACCTCTTCTTAATGTCTTCTGCTTCTGTTAGATCCATACCATTTCTGTCGTTTATCGAACCCATCTTTGCATGAAATTTTCCCTTGGTATATCTAATTTTCTTGAAGAGATCTCTAGTCTTTTCCATTCTGTTGTTTTCCTCTATTTCTTTGCATTGATCCCTGAGGAAGGCTTTATTATCTCTCCTTGCTATTCTTTGGAACTCTGCATTCAGATGGGAATATCTTTCCTTCTCTCCTTTGCTTTTAGCTTCTCTTCTTTTCACAGCTATTTGTAAGGCTTTGTCAGAGAGCCATTTTGCTTTTTTGCATTTCTTTTCCATGGGGATGGTCTTAATCCCTGTCTCCTGTACAATGTCATGAACCTCCATCCATAGCTCATCAGGCACTCTATCAGATCTAGTCCCTTAAATCTATTTCTCACTTCCACTGTATAATCATAAGGGATTTGAACAGTATGAAAAGGCAAAATGATAGGCTACTGAAAGAGGAACTCCCCAGGTTGGTAGGTGCCCAATATGCTACTGGAGATCAGTGGAGAAATAACTCCAGAAAGAATGAAGGGATGGAGCCAAAGCAAAAACAATACCCAGCTGTGAATGTGACTGGTGATAGAAGCAAGGTCCGATGCTGTAAAGAGAAATATTGCATAGGAACCTGGAATGTTAGGTCCATGAATCAAGGCAAATTGGAAGTGGTCAAACAGGAGATGGCAAGAGTGAAGGTCAACATTCTAGGAATCAGCAAACTAAAATGGACTCGAATGGGTGAATTTAACTCAGATGACCATTATATCTACTACTGTGGGCAGGAATCCCTTAGAAGAAATGATGTGGCCATCATGGTCAACAAAAGAGTCTGGAATGCAGTACTTGGATGCAATCTTAAAAACAACAGAATGATCTCTGTTTGTTTCCAAGGCAAACCATTCCGTATCACGGTAATCCAAGCCTATGCCCCAACCAGTAATGCTGAAGAAACTGAAGTTGATTGGTTCTATGAAGACCTACAAGACCTTTTAGAACTAACATCCAAGATGGATGTCCTTTTCATTATAGGGGACTGGAATGCAAAAGTAGGAAGTCAAGAAACACTTGCGGTAACAGGCAAATTTGGCCTTGGAGTACGGAATGAAGCAGGGCAAAGGCTAGCAGAGTTTTGCCAAGAGAACACACTGGTCATAGCAAACACCCTCTTCCAACAACACAAGAGAAGACTCTACACATGGACATCACCAGATGGTCAACACTGTAATCAGATTGATTATTTTCTTTGCAGCCAAAGATGGAGAAGCTCTATACAGTCAGCAAAATAAGACCGGGAGTGGACTGTGGCTCAGATCATGAACTCCTTATTGCCAAGTTCAGACTTAAATTGAAGAAAGTAGGGAAAACCACTAGACCATTCAGGTATGACCTAAAGGTCTTAGATTTCCTAATTCCTAACTGGGGGTTTTTCCCACTACATGTTCCTCATAGAGGGCTTGTGGAAGGAGGTACAGGTATATACATACAGGTAGGAAATGGTACAGAGTAAATGCTCAATGTGGTAGACTAAAAATGGTCTTCCAAAAGATATCCATGTCCTAATCCCTGAAATCTGTTATCTTATATAGCAAAAAAAAAAAAAAAAGTGTGTATTGGGGGTCCTTTGTGAATGTGATTAAGGATCTTGAGGTAGGGAGAGCATTCTGGATTATCCAAGTGGGCCCTAAATGCAATCATGTGTATATTCATAAGAATGGGCCAGAGAGAGATTTCACAGAGGAGAAGGTGAAGATAAGCCAAAGAGAGTTTTAGATGTTTCCACAAGCCAGGGAATGCTGACAAGAAGTTGAAAGTGATAAGGAATGGATTCTTCCTTAGGGCCTTTAGAGGTTGTGCAGCCCTGCCAACACCTTGATTTTGGCCCAGGGTGCTGACTTCAGATTTCTGGCCTCCAGAACCATGAGAGAATATATTTCTGTTTTTCAAAGCCACCAGTTCTGTGGCATATTGTTATAGCAGCCAGAGAAAATGGATATACTCAGTTATATATTTTTACTGAGGTATAGTTGATATGCAATGCTATATGTTTCAGGTATGCAACAGTGAGTCACCATTTTTAAAGGTTATACTCTGTTTATAATCATAATAAAACATTGGCTATATTCCCTGTGATGTGTAATATACCCCTGCAACTTACTCATTTGGTACATAGGAGTTTGTACCTCTTAATTCCCTACCCTTCTCCTGCTCCTCCCCTACTCTCTCCCTGCTGGAGACCAGTTGTTTGTTTTCTATCTATAGGTCTGTTTCTTTTTGTTATATTCACTAGTTTTAGTTTTTAGATTCCACACGTAAGTGATATCATACCATGTTTGTCCTTGACTTATTTCACTAAGCATAATACCCTCCAGGGTCTATCTATGATGTCGCAAATGGTAAAATTTCATTCTTTTTTTTTTACAGCTGAGTAATATTCCATTGTGTGTATGTGTGTACCCTACATTTTCTTTATCTACTAATCCACTCATGAGCACTTAGGTTCCTCCATAGTTTGCCTTTTGTAAATAATGCTGCTATGAACTTTGTACACTCAAAGCAGTATAATTTTCCCTCTCTTTGAAATTTTTCTGAGTTCTGGAAAATAAAGTGCACATGTATTGTGCAGCAAATAATATATATTTACATATAAATCTCATTATCAATAGAAGAGACCTCTGCTATGAGTAGATATGTTTAAAGCAGAATCTAATGTCTATAAGGGTCATGCTTAGATGTTTACTGTATAAGGATATTTACTCTACACGGATACGAATTAAAAGTAATCAGTCTGCTCCATTTTCTATTGGAACAATTATTTGTCTGACATTTTCTGCAGTTTATCTTCAATAGCCCATGGTTGGGATAATAGCTTTGTGAACAAGTGTGAGCCTTTCATTCTAAGAAAAAGGTTTGCCTCTGTATTTTAAGGGTGTTTTTTGATTGTTTTGAAGGTGTTAGGGATTTTCCTCCTTCAGGAAGAGTCTGGTAAAGAAGCAAAAATTCGGCCTGCCATGAAATTAGCACACAGGCAGGCTGAATATCCAAGGTCAGCAAACTGGAGGCAATAAATCATGGCATCTCAGCACATAGCCCATGGAGCCTAAATTAGAAAAAAACATCCATTATGAGAAATGAAATTCTTAATAATGGAATCCTATTCATGAATGGATGTATGTTGGGGAGGTTATGAAATGTGACTTGGAAGAGGTTTGGGATGTTAATATCTAAGATTTCAGAAGATGACTGTCATAGATAATTGGAGTGCAAATAATAAGTTGTGAGTCACTGTGCCACTTTTTTCTTTTAATATTCTACTCATGTCACACTCAGGAGAAAACACCTGCTACAGGAAGATGTAGAAGACATGGAGCTATCAGGAAAATCACTGTCAAAAGAGCCTCAGTGAAGATTTCCCCCAGGCTGGACATCCTGGATGGGTTCTGGGTGCTTCGTTGGGCTCACGGTATTTAATCCCATCCCACCTCCATGCCCTTTCAGAGGAGCCTGAGGTGCTGAGTTCTTGTGTAGTAAAATCCTTAGTCCTTGTCCTCTGCTCTTTCTTAGTGACCACACTGCTTCCCAGGACACACACCACTGCCTTGTCAGAGCCCAGCATGGGCCTCATCTTCAGCCTCCGTTAGGCACGTGCTTAGTCAAGTTAATCTACAACTGGTATTTATTAAGTGAAATTAGGAAATGGGCTGCTTTACCCTTGCCTGGGTAAGAAAAAAGCTGTGTTTAGAGTGTGTTGATCTGGTTTCTTGGGCCCTACCTGAGTTACCCCAGGGAAACCAGGTTCAGGTTGCCTTGGGACCAGAACAGACTGGACTGAGCAGGATTTCAGCAGCTCTTTAGTTAAGCCAAATCGTCTCTGGCCTAGAGTAACCTCAAATCACTGTTGTCTTTATTTACGGAAAGCCTGGAGGAGTCCCACGTGAGCTAATCATGTAGGTTTAATCACGTAGCTATCACATCACACACTTTTCATTACTATCCAGCACCACCGAACTCTATCCTAAGCAAGTGCAATATTTAATCCCATAAACAAAACAGGTGGGCTTCCTGTTTTTGAGACTGGGTAATTTATTTTAGTAGCTGCAAAGTCCTTAAAAAAAAAATTCCTTTCTCAGTATGGCTCTGAGAAGCCCCGTGGAAGTATAGCTGGTGAAATCCCTGCCTGCCAACAGGTGGTGCTTGTGGTAAAGAGCCCTCCTGCCAATGAAGATGTGAGAGACACGGGTTCAATCCCTGGGTCGGCAAGATCCCCTGGAGGAGGGCATGGCAACCCACTCCAGTGTTCTTGCCTGGAGAATCCCCATGGACAGAGGAGCCCGGCGGGTTACACTCCATGCGGTCGCACAGAGTCAGACATGACTCAAGTGACTTAGCACACGCAGGCAAACTAAAACCTACGGAGCTTCCATGTCTCGTCAGAGGCAATTCAGCTAGTAATTGGCCGAGTAGACTTGAAAGCTGTACCTCTCGCCTCTTCATCCAGCTCCTTACACTGTCCCACATGTCCCCTTCAAGGCTGCCCGGCAGCGCTGGTGGAGGAGGAAGCTGAAACAGGGAGCGATGGGGCTCTTGCCTCAGACCCTCTGTGGGGCTGATCACAGCTGGAGGCCTGGCCTCTGGTGCCCTGGATCCAGTCACAGGTCTCGATTCTCCTTTCTGAATGAGCCCCACCCTGGGGGAATCCCAGTCCTGCGGGCAGTTCCTGCTTGAGTTATGTGCGGCCTCCACGGCCTGAGATAGCTGTCGGGCCTGTGCCACGGGCTACACCACTGCTCTCCACAGCAAGGGAGACCCGGGATGCTGCGCTCCTAAATCCGTCCTGAGGGAGGCAGGACCCCTGTGGAATGTGGACACGAGTCATGTGACTAGCTGAAATTAGGAACCGTGATGCCCCGGGTTAACCTCCGATGTATCGCCTCTTCTCCTCGGTTCCTCCTTAGCCTTGTCGGCCCCGGCCTTAGGCTGGGGCTCCTGCGTGGAATCATCAAGCGGAACTGCGCGCCTGCGTGTTGTATGTTCTGTGCTGGCTCCGAGGTTGCCGCAGTGAGCAGAAGGGACACGGCCCCTTCGCTCAGAGAATCGCAGACTGGAGGCACGGGCCGTTACAATACGGTAAGGGAAGCGCCAAGCTGTAAAGCTGTGGGGTGCCGGCAAGGACAGTCCCCCCAGCCCCGGGGTGGGAGGCGGTGTGCTGGAAGACTTTGCGGCACATGCCATCTTGCTCTTCCCATCCCCCACCTCCTCTCTCACTGAAATCCCCTGAGTGCCTGTTATTTAAGAGATGTTGTCCCAGGTGTTATGGGGAGTTGCCTCCAGATTTCTGTGACCCTCGGTTCTGGACTACTTAAAACAAGTAAATCTTATCTTCTCCCATTTCCTGATGCATTTGTTTCCCCACCACCCAGGAACCCAGTTCCCTTCACTGCCTCCAGGTTGTCCAAAGTTCCTTATCATCCCACCTCCCTGGCCTCTCCCTCCAAGAAGTGCCCCCGATCTCAGCATTTCCTCCAGCCCATGTCTGCCTGTTCCCAAACCCAAACTGCTGTTTTCTCAGACAGAGGCACGGGGATTAGATGAATTCTCTTTATTTCCCCTCTGCTGTGGGTTGAATGTGTCCCCCTGTAAGGTATGTTGAAGTCTGAACTCCTGGCACCTGTGAATGTGACTTTATTTGGAAATGGGGTCTTTGTAGATACAATCAAGTTAAGATGAGCTCATAGAATCAGGGTAAAACCTAATTCAATGTCTTTATAAGAGGAGGGACGTTTGGACACACAGAGAGACACAGGGAGAGAATGCCATGGAGAGGCAGAGATTTATGTGCTCACAAACCAAGGAATAAGAATTGCCAGCAACCACCAGAAGCTAAGAGGAGTCAGGAAAGAATCCACCTAGAATGCTCAGGGAGAGCATGGCCCTGCGTACACCTTGATTTAGGACTTCCTCAAAGTCCTAAATTAGGACCAGTCCTGATTTAAGACTTGCCTCTAGAATTAAATCAGACAGAGGATGAGATGGTTGGATGGCATCACCGACTCAGTGGACATGAATCTGAGCAAACTCCGGGAGATGGTGAAGGGCAGGGAAGCCTGGTGTGCTGCAGCCCCTGGCATCGCAAAGAGTCAGACACGACTGGGCAACTGAACAACAACTAGAATTAAGTCACTCAGGCTGGTGTTTTGTTATGGCAGCCCTAGGAAACCAGTACATCCTGCTGAATCTGTTTACTTGTAGGGACAAAGGCATCTCTAATTCATGGAATTTCAGGTGGTGTATGTCCCCTCCTCTGTGAATTGTCCCCACATACAGTCCTTGCTAAATCCATTCTTGATCATGGCAAAAACAAGCTACTCCATCACCACCAACTGGTCAGAGTAGACAAGCAACCCAGAGCCATCTAAGCCCTTGAACAAGAACAGCCAAATCGATTCTGTTTTTCAAAATTCTGAAGGAAGAGGCACAGAGACGATGATAAGCAGGTAGTGGGTGCTGGGACTGTAAACTCTTAGAGAGTCAGGGCTGGAGTCAATGTCACATGCAAGCGGAAGTAGTGGGGAAGCAGGAACCACAAGAAAGCAGAGGGCCCTGCTCTACAGAGAGAAGAGGACCAATGTCCAGAGGCACAAACATGAGACAGAAAATAGTGACCATGGTTACTTTAGGTTTTGAGAGTATCTCAGTGCTTAACTCTAGTCCCACAAGACTTTGCAGCAGGCAGTAGGGAGCCACAGAAGATTCCAGGGAGTGGCAGGGTTTCTGTCCCTCATTTTATTTGGTGTTCTGTCTCTTCTACCATGTCACCCACTGCTGCCCTAGCCAACTATCTCTACTGGTCAGATTCATCGGAAACTCAGTGGCCTTGGGAATGAACTCAGTCCCTCCTGCTTAGGAAATCCAGATTTTGTCTGGATTTACCATCCAATCAAAGCACAGTGTGGAATTTTTTCATTTAGAAACTGAGATGACAACCAATGCAGCCTCTTACGGTCCCTTCTTCTGTATTCTTGAACAACTTGCACTGGAGCAAGCCAGCTTAGCCAGTTACCATGGACACCACTCTGTCACTATAATCAGAGCCGACAGGCAGCAGCTAACAGCAGATTTAACTAGTGTCTTGTCCTCTAGGGAAGGCACAGCTGAGGGAAATGTAGATTTCTCACTAACATAAATAGTTTAGTGTGCAGAACAGGGAAGTGAAATTCTATCAAATATCACAACCCATGTCCTTTTTGAAACAAGGAGTAAATACTGGCTGGGGAAACCTTGATTGTATTTGCTGTAAAGTCAGGAATATTCCAGAGTTGGGTCATGATCATTGTTTAGGTTTTCCCTAAGTTCCTGAGTTTTCCCTACGATCTCAGGCTTTCTCAGCTTCCTGTACCTAGTAACATCCAACATTTATACAGCACTTATTATATGCACATTACATACATTTGTTCATTTAATCCCTATAACCACTCTGTGGCATAGGTTTTATTACCAGTCCCATTTTGCGGATGAGAGTGGTAAGGTCTCTTCCATAAAGCTCTAGCCTGATGCCCTTGGGGTCAACTGGCTTTCCTCAGGAAGTGATGTTTAAGTGTATTCTAGGAGCACAGAGACTAGGGGAGATGGATATATAAACCAACAAATACAGAGCTCTGATGGATGGATATAGAAGGTAGAGAAGAGGTTCTTGCTACACTAGAGTCAAGGTAGATGTATTACCTAATCCTGAGTGTTGCTGTCATGATTTGGATACAACCAGAACATTTTCCTTAGGAGCAGGTATTTGAATGTGGGACGGCAATCAGGTGACTAAGACTCAAAACAGCAACCTGCAAAATATACTTCCTGCTTCACCTTCTTTCTCTTCCTCTCTCTACTCCTCCCCGCCCCTCCCCCCCGCACACCCATATGAATCTGGTTAATCTAGCAAGTAAAATATAAGATGTATACCATGTCCTCCTAACCCGGATCATATTAACTGAGGTTTTTAGAGTACCTCATCACCAGGTCTTGATAAATAGTACATAAAAGGAAGTGAAAGAATCACTTTCACTTTTTAACTGTGAAGCTTTTTCACAGATAGAAGACACATAATTGAGCAAGACTTCTAAGCAATCCCAGTCCTGTCCCTCAACCCCCAGTCCTGAAAATCTGTGAGATTGGTGGTATTTAGAAAGCTGAAACTGCCGATGGCTGGTGAGATAGCCGTGATGGGTCAGAAGAGTTGCCTTAATCCATCAGTAGCTTGCAGGGTGATCTTGCGCAAGCCACTTCCCTCCCAAACCCGAGTCTCCCCATTTATAAACAGAGGAAGTTAGGAAAGTCCTTTGAGCTAGTTTATGAATTATGAAAACCACCCTCTACCCTACCCTATCCCCACCCCCCACCCCCGCCCAAGTTAAAGCAGGTCCCCAGGTTATATTCTTGGTACTTTTCCTTGTTAGCACTTAGCATTTTACTTCTTCTTTTTTTTTTCTTTTATAACTGAGATTTTATTGGTTGTTTTGAGGATCACTACACAGACATTTCAATTTGTACACAATTCTTCACATACATACCAGAAATCTAAAATATCATGTAGTTGTGATTCTTAACAGTTATTCCAGTGACTTTCCAGCTTAAAATTTGGAGCAAACTTTCCTTAACAGGATATCAAGTACCAATATCTTCAAATATTGATATGTTGTTACATCATAAGTCCCACTGATTCACAATTTAATATCATAAACACTACATACCCAAACTGTCAATTGTTCACAGCACATTAACCAAGTTACTAGGAAAACTGGACTACCACGACCAAAGATGTTATAGTATAGTGCACAAAATTCTGACCAGGAGAGCCAAGATCAAAAAGTGGTTTGCTGTAGGAAATAATTCTACCAAAACAATATGGGAAGAGAAGTAATTTAAAGTGTTCAGGACATTAAATGCACAACTGACTCCAAACTGCCATTTAGTATGCTTTTGTATTATAGGATATAAAAGCTACCCCCCATCTATGGAATGTTAAGCTCACACCCAAGACAATCAAAGCCTCCCATATCCAATATCCCACTATTTTCTGGTTGAACCAAAAAATAAACAACTAGCAAATGATTTCATCTCTTAAAAAAAAGCATTTACACTTAAAAAATGGGATGAGGTGGGATTCCCTCCTTTTTAAAAATCTTTCTAGAGCTACTAAAAAACTTGCATTTACAAAATAGTTGATAAAAATATTCCTCTGGATTGTACAAGAAGGGAAAAGGGACCACTGACAGGACTGAGTGTGTGGTTATTCATCAGACTTGGCTTCTTTCTCTTACGCTTCCTCAGAGGCTGGGCTCTCCTTGTTTTTGGGCTCTCCTCGTTTTTAGTCTCTCCAATTTCTGCAGGCAAGTCTTCTTTAGTCTCTTGGTTGGCCACTTCCGCCCTTTGCTCCTCTTTTCCCTTTTGTTTGCACTTTTTTGTCTGAAGATTTATCCTTTCCCGCCGCCTTTTTTGGCTTCGTTTCCACTTTTGCAGGAGCCGGTTTAGCTGACAACCTCGCGATCTCCTCTTGGGCTCCTCCTTCGCCGCCCCCTCGGCAGAGCTGACCTTCCTCTTGGGCATCGTGGTGGCGGGGCGGGTGAGAGCCGGGTGCCTGAGGGCGGTGCCGCGCCGAGAGCCTTCGCGAAGCTGAGTAGCCTGACCGCTGCCTCTCCTCCCGCCCTTCTTCTTCTCTTTTTTAAAAAACTGATTTAGTTGTCTCTATCAGTACTTGACCTCTCCAAAATACTTCAACTCCAGAGGAGCAGCGATTGTACTATTCACCACTATACTCATGTATTTTAGCCTGTCTCTGGCACACATTAGGAACTCAATAAACATTTGTTGCCTGAAGTGTTCCTAGCAAATACTCCTCCTAACCCCAGCCCTGCTGGCCTCAGTACCAGAGAGCACTGGGGATTCCTAACTGGTGTCTCTGGGAATCTCTGTGCTAACAAACGTATGGGTTTTTCTGTTTTTTTTTTTTTTCCCTGTTGTTATTGACATTGCAAAGGGTCACTTTGGTGCCAACATTGAAATGACTACAATGAGCCCCTGTTTCAAAAAAATTGCCCCTGTCCTTCACAGGGCTATGGAAGAAACGAGGAGGCCAGGTACAAAAGTTGAGTCAGAATGAAGTCAGTTGCTGCCTGTAGTGTGACAGTGAGGATTAGCAAACCATAATGTGGAAATTTTTTTCAAAGCTAAGAATTGTTAAGCATTGTGCAGTCAGCACTTCTTAGAGTGATTTATGAAGTTGAACAACTTTTGATTTCCTCTTGAAAACCATCACTTGAGCTGTAGTCATTCATCAGTTCATTTGTTTGGACACCACTTCTTTTTTAGGCTTTAGCATGTGCCAGATCTGGCATGTGCTAGGTGTGCCACAGGATGTGTGCCAGAAGCCCATGGCCAAGTAGAGAGTCTACCCAAGGACTGCAAGGCTGACTCTAAGAGGGCAGTGTTTGTGAATCCATTTGGTTAAAGCCTGTCTCTTGCTTCTAGACAGTAAAACCCCAGGAAGCCAGGGGACACATTTTGGTCTTGCTCCATACTGAATCCCCAGTGCTAGATGGTGCCTAGTCTGTAGCTGTTCAGTCGCTTAGTTGTGTTTGACTCTGCAATCCCATGGACTGCTGCATGCCAGGCTTCCCTGTCCTTCACCATCTCCCTGAATTTGCTCAAACTCATGTCCACTGAGTTGGTGATGCCATTCAAACATCTCATCCTCACCTTCCAAATGTCACCCCTTCTCCTCCTTCCTTCAATCTTTCCCAGCATCAGGGTCTTTTCCACTGAGTCAGTTCTTTGCATCAGATGGCTAAAGTATTGGAGTTTCTGCTTCAGAATCAGTCCTTCCAATGAGTATTCAGGACTGATTTCCTTTAGGATGGACTCTTTGGATCTCCTTGCAGTCCAAGGGACTCTCAAGAGTCTTCTCCAACACCAGAGTTCAAAAGCATCAATTCTTTGGCTCTCAGCTTTCTTTATAGTCCAACTCTCACATCCATACAATACTACTGGAAAGATCTTAGTTTTGACTAGATGGACCTCTGTCAGCAAAGTGATGTCTCTGCTTTTAATACACTGTCTAGGTTGGTCATAGCTTTTCTTCCAAGGAGCAAGTGTCTTTTAATTTCATAACTGTAATTACTGTCTGCAGTGATTTTGGAGCCCAAGAAAATAAAGTCTGTCACTGTTTCCATTGTTTCCCTATCTATTTGCCATGAAGTGATGGTACCGGATGCCATGATCTTAGTTTTTTGAATGTTGAATTTTAAGTCAACATTTACACTCTCCTCTTTCACTTTCATCATGAGGCTCTTTAGTTCCCCTTCACTTTCTGCCATGAGGGTGGTGTCATCTGCATATCTGAGGTTGTTGATAATTCTCCTGTCAATCTTGATTCCTGCTTGTTCTTCATCCAGCCCAGCATTCCCCATGACGTACTCTGCATATAAGTTAAATAAGAAGGGTAACAATATACAGCCTTGATGCACTCCTTTTCCAGTTTTGAACCAGTTTGTTGTTGCATGTCTGGTTTGCATACAGGTTTCTCAGGAGGTAAGTAAAGTGGTCTGGTATTCCTATTTCTTTACGAATTTTCTGCAGTTTGTTGTCATCCACAGGGTCAAAGGCTTTAGTGTAGTCAATAAAGCAGTTGTTTTTCTGGAATTCCCTTGCTTTTTCTATGATCCAACTAATGGTGGCAATTTGATCTCTGGTTCCTCTGCCTTTTCTAAATCTAGCTTATACATCTGGAAGTTCTCAGTTCGTGTACTATTAAAGCCTAGCTTGAAGGATTTTGAGCATTACCTTGCTAGTATGTGAAATGGGTGCAATTGTACAGTAGTTTGACCATTCTTTAGCATTGCCCTTCTTTGGGATTGGAATGAAAACTTACCTTTTCCAGTCCTGTGGCCACTGCTGAGTTTTCCAAATTTGCTGGTCTGTAGTGGGCACCCAATATATATTTGCAGAATGAGAGAAGGAGTGTCATCTAAAAGAGATTAAAGGGACCTCCCTGGTGGTCCAGTGGTTAAGAATCCACCTTCCAATGCAGGGGACACTGATTTGATCCCTGTTTGGGGAACTAAAATTCCACATGCCCTGGGGCAACTAAGCCCACAGGCTGCAACTAGAGAGAAGCCGTTGCCTTCTGCAATGAAGATCTGGTATGCTGCAACAAAAAACCAACACAGCCAAAAAAAGAGAGAAAGTATCTGGCCCAGAAGGTCCCATAAGGATATTCTACCATATACTTAAAGGAGTATATTTTTAAAATGAAAGAGATTTTAAAAACATGTTATGGGGGTTGGAGAGGTAGAGCTTAGTCTCAGCTGGAGACATCACCTGATCAAAACCTTGAGGCGGGGGGACTGTCAAAATTAAGGTTAATGTTCCCACTGTTGCTCTCAGACCCATTTTACAGATGAGGAAACTGTCACAGAGAGGGAGAGGGATTTGCCCAGGCTCATACAGTGTTATTCCGTCTGCCCTCTGACTGATAAGGATAAGAGGCTTATGGAAGCTTCCTGATGGGAGAGACTGACTGTGGGGGAAACTGGGTCTTGTTCTGATGGGTGGGGCCATGCTCAGTTAATCTTTAATCCAATTTTCTGTTGATGGGCAGGGCTGTGTTCCTTTCCTGTTGTTTGACTGGAGACCAGCTATGGTGGAGGTAATGAAGGTAACGGCGACCTCCTTCAAAAAGTCCTGTGCACGCACTGCCGCACTCAGTTCTTCCAACCCTGAGGCAGGCCACCACTGACCCATGCCTCTGCGGGAGACTCCTGGACACTCACAGGCAAGTCTGTGTCAGTCTCTTGTGGGGTCACTGCACCTTTCTCCTGGGTCCTGGGGCACACAAGGTTTTGTTTGTGCCCTCCAAAACTCTGTTTCCCCAGTCCTGTGCAGGTTCTGTAATCAAATCCCACTGGCCTCCAAAGTCAAATTCCCTGAGGGTTCTCCGTCCCTTTGCCAGATCCCCAGGTTGAGAAATCTGTTGTGGGTCCTAGAACTTTCTTAACAATGTGAGAATTTGTCTGGTATAATTATTCTGTAGCTTGTGCATCGTCTGCTTGGTGGCTCTGTGGTGGGGTTAATGGTGACCTCCTCCAAGAGGGTTTATGCCACACCCAGGTCTGCTGCACCCAGAGCCCCTGCCCCTGTGGCAGGCCACTGCTGACCCTTACCTCCGCAGGAGACACTCAAACCCTCAAAGGCAGGTCTGGTTCAATCTTTCTGGAGTCTCCTGGTACAAACAAGGTTTTGTTTGAGTCCTCTGAGCATCTCTGGTGGGTATGGTGTTTGATTCTAAAAGTGATTTTGCCCCTCCTACCATCTTGCTGGGGCTTCTCCTTTGCCCTTGGACAGGGGGTATCTTTTTTTGGTGGGATCCAACATTCTCCTGTCAATGGTTGTTCAACAGCAAGTTGTAATTTTGGAGTTCTTGAAGGAGAACTTTCCCTGTCTAATTCAATGAAACTATGAGCCATGCTATGTAGGGTCACCCAAGATGGACAGGTCATGGTGGAGAGTTCTGACAAAATGTGGTCCACTGGAGAAGGCACTGGAAAACCACTTCAGTATTCTTGCTTTAAGAACCCCATGAACAGTATGAAAAGGCAAAAAGATATGACACTGAAAGCTGAATTCCCCAGATCGGTGGGTGCCCAGTATGCTACCGGAGAAGAGCGGAGAAATAACACCAGAAAGAATGAAGAGATGGAGCCAAAGTGAAAACAGTGCCCAGTTGTGGATGTGACTGGTGATGGAAGTAAAGTCTGATGCTGTAAAGAACAATATTGCATAAGAACCTGGAATGTTAGGTCCATGAATCAAGGTAAATTGGAAGTGGTCATACAGGAGATGGCAACAGTGAACATCGACATTTTAGGAATCACCAAACTAAAATGGACTGGAATGGGTGAATTTAACTCAGATGACCATTGTATCTACTACTGAGGGAAAAAATCCCTTAGAAGAAATGGAGTAACCATCACAGTCAACAAAAGAGTCCGAAATGCAGTACTTGGGTGCAATCTCAAAAATGACAGAATGATCTCTGTTCGTTTCCAAGGCAAACCATTCAGTATCACAGTAATCCAAGTCTATGCCCCAACCAGTAATGCTGAAGAAACTAAAGTTGAATGATTCTGTGAAGACCTACAAGACCTTCTAAAACTAACACCCCAAAAAGATGTCCTTTTCATCATAGGGGACTGGAATGCAAAAGTAGGAAGTCAAGAGATGCCTGGAGTAACAGGCAAATTTGGCCTTGGAGTACAAACTGAAACAGGGTAAAGCCTAACAGAGTTTTGTCAAGAGAATGCACTGGTCATAGCAAACACCCTCTTCCAACAACACAAGAGATGACTCTACACATGGACATCACCAGATGGCCAATACTGAAATCAGATTGATTATATTCTTTGATTAGACCCTCTGGAGATGGGAAAGGATTACCCACTCCATTATTCTTGCCTGAAGAATTCCATGGACTGTAGAGTCCATGTGGTCACAAAGAGTTGGACACAACTGATCTACTTTCACAACATATTGTTTGCAGCCAAAGATGGAGAGGCTCTATACGTCAGCAAAAACAAGACTGGGAGCTGACTGTGGCTCAGATCATGAACTCCTTATTGCCAAATTCAGACTTAAATTGAGGAAAGTAGGGAAAACCACTAGACCATTCAGGTATGACCTAAATAAAATCCTTACAATTATACAGTGGAAGTGACAAATAGATTCAAGGGATTAGATCTGATAGAGTGCCTGAAGAACTATGGACAGAGGTTCTGACATTGTATAGGAGGCAGTGACCAAGACCATCCTCAAGAAGAAGAAATACCAAAAGGCAAAATGGTTGTCTGAGGAGGCCTTACAAATAGCTGAGAAAAGAAGGGAAGCTAAAGGCAAAGAAGAAAAGGAAACATATACCCATTTGAATGCAGAGCTCCAAAGAATAGCAAGGAGAGATAAGAAAGCCTTCCTCAGGGATCAGTGCAAAGAAATAGAGGAAAACAACAGAATGGGAAAGACTAGAGATCTCTTCAAGAAAATTAGTGATACCAAGGGAATATTTCACGCAAGGATGGGCACAATAAAGGACAGAAATGGTGTGGACCTAACAGAAGCAGAAGATATTAAGAAGAGGTGGCAAGAATACACAGAAGAACTATACAAAAAAGATCTTCACAACACAGATAACCAGGATGGTGTGATCACTCACCTAGAGCCAGGCATCTTGGAATGTGAAATCAAGTGGGCCTTAGGAAGCATCACTATGAACAAAGCTAGTGGAGGTGATGGAATTCCAGTTGAGCTATTTCAAATCCTAAAAGATGATGCTGTGAAAGTATTGCACTCAATTTGCCAGCAAATTTGGAAAACTCAGCATCATCCAGTCCCATCAATCACGGCAAATACATGGGAAAACAATGGAATCAGTGACAGACTTTATTTTTGGGGGCTCCAAAATCATTGTAGATGGTGACTGTAGCCATGAAATTAAAAGACACTTGCTCCTTGGAAGAAAAGCTATGACCAACCTAGATAGCATAGTAAAAAAGCAGAGACATTACTTTGCCAACAAAGGTCCATCTAGTCAAATCTATGGTTTTTCCAGTAGTCATGTATGGATGTGAAAGTTGGACTATAAAGAAAGCTGAGCACTGAAGAATTGATGCTTTTGAACTGTGGTGTTGGAGAAGACTCTTGAGAGTCCCTTGGACTGCAAGGAGATCAAACCAGTCCATCATAAAGGAGATCAGTCCTGAGTATTCACTGTAAGGACTGATGCTGAAGTGAAACTCCAATACTTTGGCCATCTGATGTGAAGAACTGACTCATTGGAAAAGACCCTGATGCTGGGAAAAATTGAAGGCAGAAGGAGAAGGGGACGACAGAGGATAAGATGATTGGATGGCATGACCGACTCAATGAACATGAGTTTGAGCAAGCTCTCGGAGTGGTAACAGACAGGGAGGCCTGGCGTGCTGTAGTCCGTGGGGTCACAAAGAATCGGACATGACTGAGCGACTGAACTGAAAAGAACTGAACTGAACTGAACTGAACACAGTGTTATGGGCTGCATTTTGCTCTTCCCCCCAGTTCATATGTTGGAGTCTTAACTCCTAGTACTGTATAATGTGACTGAATTTGGAAGTAGAGTCTTTAAAGAGAGAAGTTCAAATGAGGTCATTTTAGGGCCCTAATCCATTATGACTAGTGTCCTTATAAGAAGAGGAGATAGAGTGCAGATAACACACACAGAGGGAGTGTGAAGACATGGGAAGAAGATAGCCATCTGAATCTAAGGAGAGCGACCTTAGAAGAAACAACCCCACTGACACCGTAATCTTGGATTCTTGTCTCTAGAATTGTGATAAACATAAATTTCTGCTGTTTAAACCAGTCAGCCTGTGGTACTTTGTTATGGCAGCTCTAAGCCAACTAATAGAGACAGTAAATAATGGCAAAGTTTGGACTAGAAGCCAGGTCTGCTGAGTGTGTCCTCAGCCCTTTATATGGACACCTCGGCTGGTCGATTTGGTACTCTCTCCACCACCCACTGCTGAGGAAGACGATAACAATGACAACAGCAGCTAACCCACATACAGGGCCTATGCACTCCTCTACGCACTTTACGTACAATGGCTCATTTAATTCTCCCAACAGCCCTGTGAAGTAAGTCCTATCATTTTACCATTTTTATATTTTACAGATTAGGAAACTGAAACACAAAGAGATTGAGCAACTTGCCCAAGATCATATGACAACTCAGTGGGGATTTAGGCCCAGGTGGTCTGCTCCAGGAACATGCCCCCTACCATTAGGGTATTCTCCAGTGCTATGTCAACATGCTAAGCCAGAGGCATTTTCAAAGATGACCAGTAAGGATGGCATTTCGAGGCCTCACTGGGTTTGCTTTCCTTCAGCCATTAGCTGCAGATATACCCATCCCAATCTGATGTAGCTCAGTAGAGGCATTAAAAAAAAAAAAGAGCAGACTTGAAAGTGAAACAACCAAATCACTTTTGCCAAATCACTTTGCGGTAAGAGACATGGGTTAGAATCCTTTCTCCACCACTTACCAGCTGAGTGATTTGGGGTTTATGGAATCAGTCTGAACCACAGTTTCTCCTTCTGGAAACATAGCAAGTGATCAATAAACAGAGCTCTTGTTAAGCAAAATGACCATGACCAAAGGCTCTCTCCTCTGTGAAACCTTGCCCAATGTCTCATCCTAGGGTGTTCAGATTGATTGCTTGCTCCACTGACTTGTCTCAAGGAAAGTTGCTTGCACTTCTATTTGCCACTTAATTTATCCTTACTTGTATCATAGAAGTTGATGACACACCTATCCATCCACCCATACACTCAGTAAAGTTGTACCAAGCTTTCCATGTCCCAATGCTGTGCCAGGCACCAGGAGTTCACAGGTGGATACGATAAGGCCCCAGCCTCGAAGACCTTGGGCTTTTGGGGCAACTCGGAACTGCTGCTGCTAAATCACTTCAGTCGTGTCCAACTCTGTGTGACCCCATAGACAGCAGCCCACCAGGCTCCCCTGTCGCTGGGATTCTCCAGGCAAGAATACTGGAGTGGGTTGCCATTTCCTCCTCCAATGAATGAAAGTGAAAAGTGAAAGTGAAGTTGCTCAGTCGTGTACGACTGGTAGCGACCCCATGGACTGCAGCCTACCAAACTCCTCCATCCATGGGATTTTCCAGGCAAGAGTACTGGAGTGGGGTGCCATTGCCTTCTCAGGACTGGATGTTCCCAATAGGTAGTGGCACTATAATAATAATAATAATAACAGTAAAGCTTTACAATTATACTGTATTACAATATTTATCACAGGAAAACTAGCTCTTTGTTTACTTTCTAGACATTTATTTTATGGTTTAGAACCATTTTAGTAGAATAGAGAAGACATAATTCTTTCAATCCTTTTCCCATTTAACTTCCAAAGGTTTGGTTTGGCAACAGAACAGATACATTAAGGAATAATTGCAGAGACTGTATTAAGTGCTGGGCTAGAAGAAGCCCTAGTGTCTTCTGGAGGCTGAGGTAGGAGAGCCCCATTGCCCCAGTGGACTCCCAAGGGCAGAAGCTAAGTCTTCACCTAGCTTCATATCTGTCCTTCAGCTGAATAGAGGTTAGGTGTCAGCTACTTCAATGGAGTTCACAAAAGGGCATGGGGAGCGCGGATGGGGGCTCTTCCCAATCCACCTGAGCGATGGAACTCATGTATTTTTTTCTTTTGCTGAGGAAACAGCCCCAGAGGTGAAAGAGACTTGCCCAAGATCACAGGAACAGAGAGTGGCAAGTGTTTTAATAGTTAACATTTATTGGTTCCTACTTATGTCAAACATTGGCTAAGGGGCTTTACATGCTTTATTTCGTTTAATCCTTATGACAATTCTGTGAAATAGGTACCCTCGTCTTCTCCATTTCACAGATGTGGAAATTGAGGTAAAGTTAAGAGACGATTTCACAAGGCCATTTTACTATTAAACAGCCAAGTCCCGATTTGCACTCGGCAGATGGTGGTTGACGTTGGAATAACAGCCAGATCCTGGACCTGTACTAGCGGCAGGATGAGGCGTGCGGACAGGTGGACACCTACCTGGGCAAGCAGTGCACAGCCTTGGCCAGCGGCTCTTAGCACCCGGCGTGGGCGGGGCGTGGGCGTGGCCTCCGACTCGCAGTTCTCCACTAGCCTCCCTAGCAGCGTGAGAGTCCCGCCCCCAGCCGAGAGGAGGTCAGGGATTGGCTTTTTCGAGGCCGATTGACGGCGCAGCGCTCGAGCCAAGGACGCCGTGGAGGCGGAGTCACAGGAGGAAGTGGGAGTAGAGAAGGCTCGAGGCGGGCTGGCCAGCGGGCCGCCGCCGCCACTTTGTCGAGTCGCCGCCGCCACTGGGGAGATGGAGGGGCCGGGACTGGGCTCGCAGGTGAGTGCGGTTGGGCGCAAGCGTCTCCGGGGCCCGGCGGGTAGCTGAGGCGATGAAGAGACGGAGAGCTTGGGTGTGAGGTAGCTCTCAGAGGGGCCTCAGGGAGCGGAGGGGCAGGGTCCAGGGAGGGGGAAGCCTGGAAACGCCGAGAATGATGCAGGGAATTCTCTCCGAGGCGACCGGGAAGAAAAGGCGAAGACATAGGGATGAGTGCCATATCGGCTCTCCCTCATCCACCTTAGGGCCGGGACCACTGTGGGCCTGGGAGGGGAGGGAAGCCGGTCCTGGGAGAGGTGTCAGGTGACACACCTGAGTTGGACCAGCCCTTCGTGACCTTGGCCTGAAGTCTGGGAGGTTTGATTCATTTCTTTTTCTGCCCAGGCGCCTGGGAAGCTGCCTTCGCCCCACCCAGCCCTGTTGTAGCTCCCTGTTTCCATATCCTTGCTTACTCCTTGGAGTATCTGAGGCCGTTTGTTTAGGCCGGAGAAAGCGGGGTGGAGAGGAAGGTGCGTGATAGCTATCTGCAAAATCCCAAAGGACTCTGTGTGTGGCGGAGGTCGTGCTGGAAGCCAAATGTAGTTTCAGAAAACAGGAGGTGCCAATGGGGAGTGACAGGAGGTACATGTTAGCTCCAGGAGAACTAGATTTTTGTCCTTTTTGTTTGTGGTCCTGAGCATATTATAGATGTTTACTTAGTATTTGTTGAATATATGAAAAATACTCAGGTTCAGCCAGGGTCTAGTGAGTTCTTAGCATATATATACACCAAATACTTTTGTGTGCATTATTTAGTTACAGAATCGAAGCATTCTTAAGGTGATAGAATCCCCATTTACAGATGAGAAAACTGAAGCTGTCTCCAGCTGGAGTGAATTGGGTAGTAGATTTTTTTGTCCCTAAGTGGGATTCAAGCAGTTTGAAATGATTGGCTTAGTTGGCCTCTCTAAAAAACATCTTTGCCATCTTGAGAATGTTCCTCATGCTCCCCCTTTCCCTCCATTCTTTCACCAAGCTGATGTAAGATTAAGTGAGGAACAAAACAGGAGGGAAATTGTCAAATGTTCTTGCATTTTGATAGAATAAAAAAGGTTTGCAAGCAGACCAGATATTACAAAAGAGTGTAGAACCTTCACATGGAAACTGTCTTGTTTGTTTTCTTCCCCCTTAGAGTTTCAAGGAAAAGTTAGTAGGAGTAATTATCATATCTTAATTACTACCACTCATTTACAGAAGCCTTTAAGTGCTTAAACTTCATTACCTGGTGCTTCAGGAAAGATTGCCCTGCTTGAATTCCCTGCCACATGGAGGGAGAGCATGATTCAGAGGTTGAGATTAAATGGGACAGGGTAGAGATCATTGTTGTTGTTAATAATAATTGCTATTAACTTTTTCAATAATAATGTAAAGATCTTACCTGTATACGATGCTCTACAGTTTGCAAAATACTTCTGTATTCTTAATCCTCATTGTGACTCTGTGAAGTTGGGAGGGATTGTTACTACAGATTTAAAGATTAGAATTGAGGCTCAAAAAGTTGGGAGTCATGGAATTTCCCAGATGGTCCAGTGGTTAGGACGTAGTGCTTTTACTACCCTGGCTCAGGTTCATTCCCTGGTTGGGGAACTGAGGATCCTGCAGGCTCTGTGGTGAGGCAAAAAAAAAAAAAAAGAGTCGTCCTTTGTTAAAAGTCAAATAGCTGCTAAGTGACAGAGCCAAGACCTCATTCCTTCTACCAGGGGTTAAGCATTGTTACAGGTGCTGGAGATTAATTGGTGAACGAAACAGACAAGAACATTCCTGCTCTGATTGAATTTGGTTCCTCTGATTCCAGCTGAAAGGTTTTTTATTTTAACCAGAATTTGCCTTTACTCTCTGGCCCCCAGTTTCCTCTCTGACCTCATTTTTTATTAATACTGCTTTCTTGCTCAATCAACCAAAGCCACACTGGCCCCAAGGCCTTTGTACTTACTATTCGCTCTATCTAGAAAACTCTTTTCTCATATGTTCACATGGCTTACTCCCTCCACTTTTGTAAGGTCTTGACACAAATGTCACGGCAATGTTGGCAGGCCCTCCCCATCATAACCACTATCAGCAACATTCCCTAACCTCCTTCCTTCCTTTATGTTTCTTCTCAGCATTTAATGTCATTAACATACTCTGTAAATAATTGCCCAGTGAATAAACTTGGATACTTAACTCTGTTAATACAGAGTATTTGTTAATGCCATGAGAAATATTAATGGCTATCTGTCTGATCTCTCTTTCTTTGTTTTATTTGATAAATCGTCAGGATTTTGAGCCTCATGAGAGTTTAAATATGGTTTTCTAGATCTTGGTTTTCTATTTAGTTAATTAACTTTAATGGTACTTATATACTATATAGAAAAAGTAACTGGATTCAAGGTATCTCCACGTGAAAAATACCTCTTATATCTTAACTGTGTTCCAGTCATCTGCTACTGTGTAACAAATCATCCCAAATCATAGCAGTCAGGATTTTGGCCAGGGTAAAGCAGGGATGGTTTGTTTCTGTTCCACCATGTCTGGAGCCTCTGCTGGAAAGACTTGTCTCCTGGGATGACTCAGGCTGGTGTCATTTGGTGGTACCCTCAGTCACACGTCAGGATGGTTTTGAGCAGGGACATCTGCATGTGGCCTGGGCCTCTGGAGAGCATGGCAGCTGGGTTCCAAGAGTGAATGTTTCGAGAGACAGAAAGAGGAAGCTGCTGGTTTCTGAGGCCTGAGCCTGCCGAGCATCGCTGGCCGAGTGTCACTTCTGTGGTACTTTATTATTGAAGTAGTCAGAGAGCTCAGATTTGAGAGGGAAGGATGTAGATTCTTTCCTCTTGATGGAGAAGTATCAAAGAACTTGGGGACTTTGTTATAACAGTCACCACAGATGTATTCATAGCTGTCTTATAGAATTTTATAATATCTTGTTCTGCCCTTTTTCTGCTCCTTGTGGAGGAGAGTATTCAGCTAGCTACAAGTCTTTTTTTGGTATCCCTGCCCCTCCTTTTCTTTTTCTTATTTTGAACTGTGTCTGTTGTGTTCAGGGCCATATCAAGGTGTTTCTTGAACAGTGACTGACACACAATAGGCTGTGTAGAATGAATGAATGAATGGATTGTAGCAAGAATTTTGTCTTATTCATCCTTTATCCCTAAGTACCTAGTACTCTGACTGGTATATAGTAGGTGTTCTTTACATTTCCCTGAGTGAATGATTAATGAAAACTCTTATGAGTTTGCTGGTGTCTATTGCTCGATCTATTCTATTACTCTAATATTGTAGGCAGCCATATATCAGTTAGGCTTCCACTGCCATGAAAGGTGTTTGCTTATGCGGTGATGCCTTTACCAGTATACATGTCAATAATAACTACTGTAACAGCTCTTCTTAGAACCGTAAACATGGATTTGGAAATAACTTTAAAGCTACATTGATGTCCTATCATTTTACAAATGTAGAAACTGAAGCCCAAAATCAGGTAGATGATTAGCTACCATCATACAGCCAACCTGAATTCTGAGACTTGGACCTTGTTCTCACGGAGATTACCTTTCAACATGGTAAAAAGGAAACAACTAGAGAAAACTTAAAAAAAAAACAGCAAGTAATTTCTAAGAAGGATGTAGGATCGCGACAAACTTTGCTTTAACCTTTGTGTTGGGACTACATGGTTGTTTTCTGTAAACATTTTATGTGACTGTCCTGAAGTTAACCTCCCCCCAAAGCAGGTCATTTCCTTTCTCACCTGTAGCTCTTACGGCAGAATTTTGAGAGTGAGTGATATCTAGAGCAAAGAACATAGCTTACAGCTGTGTCCTCTAAGCTTTTTGATCATGCAGTCCTATCAGTAAAGCAGTTTTGGGCTTGCACCCCTAGAGTAAACCACCTGCAATGTGAAAAGCAGGAATTAAAGTTTTCATTGTTGTAAGATGACCTGTATTGTGAGATTTAAGAGAATGATGAGAGGCACGTGCACTTCATGCTGGCTGGAAGCTGAGGCCTCCAGCTGCACAGTCGAGATCATCCAGATGCTACTGACCACAGTTTGCTGTCCCTTGTTGGCCCCTGACCAGTTAACTTACGTGTTAACAGGACGATCCTGGGGCATGTGGTGAGCTGGAATGTAAAAAGTTCAGCTCCCTCTGATGTACCTGGGGCCTGGGAGAAGGAGCCAGTCTCCAAATCCATATTATCATGTTATTACCGGATTTGACAGTGTGTTTCTAAATTGTACTCGTAAGTGAATAGCTCAGTATATACTCATGGTAAGGTTTTCAGTTAAAAATACTAAATATAAGTCTGCTTCAGATCAGCCTTTTTGATAATTTGAACATTTGTTTGGAGGGAGGCTGGCCTTCTGTTAGATCAGATCAGACCGTCTCTGTTGCACCTGTGGCCAGTGAAGAGCACCCGTTACGACAAGTGTCAGCTCTGCCGTCTTCTTGTTTGCTTGACCTTGTATCAGTACTACTATTATTATTTCAGTTCATCGTTTCTTTGGAGTAATCAGTGTAAGCCACTTGCTTATTTTGGGAAGGATAGTTTTAAAATTAGTTAGTAGTTAAAATTAGGTAATATACCTTGAGAATTACTTAGCCTGATGAATACCGCAATATGGTGAAGGTCCCATTGTAACCCCTCTGGGTGTGGACCTTTACACTGCCCCCAAGTTACCTTGCAAACAGACCATGAGAAGTGACCTGCTTGATATACAGATCGCATGAGTCCTCCAGGACTAAAAACTCATAAAGATTAAAGGAGACAAATTTATAAACTTTTGTGGCTTTCCCTCCCCCCTTTCTAAAACATACAGAAGTCATTATAATAGCAACTTTAACATTTTCTTCTGTTCCTGAATGGGTTACTGAGTGCTTGGCCTGGGGTGCACTTGCCTCGCTTTGGAGACTGTTGGCTTTGAAACCAGGCTTTGAGTTTATGTAATCACCTTTAGCTTTTACTCTGATTTGGATTTAGGCAAAAACGAC